AAACCCTAAACCCTAAACCACAGGAGATCTCCAAGGCGGTCATGCGTCAGCAGGGTGAGCATCATTTTCACAGGGACCCAGAGAAGAGGAGGTGGGGATCTCATGGGGTACCCTTTTGCACTTTTTATGGTAGGGTTTTTTGTTCAGAACTGAATAACAGGAGAAAGGGCACCCTGATTATTTAGGAACCTAGAAGCAGAATGATAAGAGTAACTATATAGTCGTAGTGACAGTACCAATGGCGACAAAAGTGCAGGGATTCAAGTGGAACAGGTTTTGATCAGGAAGCTAGTAGTCCTAGCACCGGCTGCCATGATGAGAGTGGTGAGAATAAGAACGAAGGATGCTAATCACCTGGTACCGATGATTTTTGGAGTTAACAGTTATTATATAAGCATCACTCTATTCACCCCTATATTATCAGTTGCTACTCTAAGTCCTTGTTGGACGAGGCGAGGATCAGAGCTGAGCTTGGAATTCATCGACACAGACAGGCTCATGAGACGCGAGGTCTCCCCATCGGAGGTCGAGACCGTCGGGGGTGACGATGAGAACTCGGACGAAGAGGAACTTGTGAAGGTATCCTTCCCGTCCGAAACACCGGAGGAGAGCAACTTAACGCTCTGCAGTCCCATCAACTTGGGTGAGACCTTTGAGCGTGAGGAGTTGCAGAAGCTTCCCCAGCTGCAGACGAGGATCATGGAGATGCACTTCGCCAAGGCCCTCGGCGAGCAGGGCTTCTTCCGCAACGCCCTTCTGCCGGAGGTGAGCTCAGACGACTACCTCCCCGATCTTCCAAAGATGCTCATCGACGACTTGCGCCTGGCTTACTACACCTTTGCGGAGAAGGGAGATCAGTCGGGAGACCTTCAGGGAAAGGTCGTCTTACCAGCAAGTCGCGTGATTGATGCCTTGCTTTATGTCGGCATCTTCCATATCTTGGCGGAGGAGGTTAACAAGAAGGACCTCACATTGGAGGCGCCACCCCCCCCCCCCACTGAACCCTGAAGCGCGACACCCTTCCGAAAAAGCTTGGAGTTTGGGGCTTGTTGTCTTCACAGCTTTGGGGTGAAACCAGGGGACTATAGGAGTTCTATGTGGGTTCAATGAGGGTTTCCTCAAAGCCAGGAAACTGCTTTACGCCTATAGAATCAGGTAGAAACACGAGACTAGACTCATACAGTTGCAGGCTTAAGACCCCCGAAGCCCGAAACCCTACACCCAAAACCCTA